CAGAATTAGCAGAGGGCGGGATAGGCTTCCCTGAAGAGAAAGGTTTTCAGTGATCGCCGAAAGGCAAGTAGAGTAGGTGATAGTCTTATAGATTGGGATAGGGAGTTCCAGAGGATGGGTGGCGCCCTGGAGAAGTCTTAGAGACGAGCGTGGGAGGAGGAGATAAGGGAGCTAGAGAGTAAGAGGTCTTGCGAGGAGCGGAGTGTACGGTTTGGGTGATATTTAGAGATAAGATCGGTTATGTAAATTGGGGCAGTGTTGTGGATGGCTTTATATGTCATTGTTAGAGTTTTGAATTTTATCCGTTGGGCAACTGGGAGCCAGTGGAGGGATTGGCAGAGAGGGGTGGCGGATACAGAACGGTTAGTGAGGTGGATGAGTCTGGCAGCAGCGTTCATGATAGACTGGAGGGGGGATAGCCTGCGATGAGGTAGGCCAATGAGGAGGGAGTTACAATAGTCGAGGCGTGATATGACAAGGGAGTGAATAAGTTGCTTAGTGGTTTCCGGGGTTAGGAACGGTCGTATCTTTGAGATGTTGCGGAGATGAAGTCTACATGATTTTGGCAGCGATTGGATCTGGGGCTGGAAGGACAGATGGGAGTCTAGGATTACACGTCATGTTCCCAACAAATGAGGAGGAGATACTGGACACCATATGAAAGGTCCATCTCCATTCCTCAATATAATGTCATGTTCCCAACTAATGAGGAGGAGATACTGGACACCATATGAAAGGTCCATCTCCATTCCTCAATATAATGTCATGTTCCCAACTAATGAGGAGATACTGGACACCATATGAAAGGTCTGTGGTTGTTTATGTAATCATTTATTCTAAATACGTAGAGCGGTGTCCTCTCCCTTAAACAAAATATTACAGTGCCTCCAGCCGTTAAAATACGGCAAATATTTAATGAACCAATAATTTGGACACCTTAATAATTTGATCACCACTTAATAATATACCTTGAATTCTTTTACCAGTATGATTTCGTACCATATACACAAAAATTGCCTTTTTGATAAATTTATGTACAAAATTTATATATATATTATTATACAAACGCAAAATACTGGTGATGAATATATACTCGTACACACAATCAAAAATATAATATTCTAATTTCTATATTATCAAACAATATGTGATTATCAATTTAAAGGAAATATAATTTTTTTAGGATTAGTGTAACCTTATAGTGCTTCAGATATTATTTCTTATTTTTCGTGGCCATAGAAAAATAAGAAAATCTCTCTGATTAAATTGCACCACAACAACAATACAAATTAATTAATATGCAATATATACAGTGGGGCAAAAATGTATTTAGTCAGCCACCAATTGTGCAAGTTCTCCCACTTAAAAAGATGAGAGAGGCCTGTAATTGGCATCATAGATAGACCTCAACTATAAGAGACAAAATGAGAAACAAAATCCAGACAATCACATTGGTTGATTTGGAAAGAATTTATTTGCAAATTATGGTGGAAAATAAGTATTTGGTCACCTACAAACAAGCAAGATTTCTGGCTCTCACAGACCTGTACCTTCTTCTTTAAGAGGCTCCTCTGTCCTGCACTCATTACCTGTATCAATGGCACCTGTTTGAACTTGTTATCAGTATAAAAGACACCTGTCCACAACCTCAAACAGTCACACTCCAAACTCCACTATGGTGAAGACCAAAGAGCTGTCGAAGGACACCAGAAACAAAATTGTAGACCTGCACCAGGCTGGGAAGACTGAATCTGCAATAGGCAAGCAGCTTGGTGTGAACAAATCAACTGTGGGAGCAATGATTAGAAAATGGAAGACATACAAGACCACTGATAATCTCCCTCGATCTGGGGCTCCACGCAAGATCTCACCCCGTGGGGATAAAATGATCACAAGAACAGCCTTGCAGAGAATGACCTGCAGAGAGCTGGGACCAACGTAACAAAGGCTACCATCAGTAATACACTACGCCGCCAGGGACTCAGATCCTGCAGTGCCAGACGTGTCCCCCTGCTTAAGCCAGTACATGTCCGGGCCCGTCTGAAGTTTGCTAGAGAGCATTTGGATGATCCAGAAGAGGATTGTGAGAATGTCATATGGTCAGATGAAACCAAAATAGAACTGTTTGGTAGAAACACAACTCGTCGTGTTTGGAGGAGAGAGAATGCTGAGTTGCATCCAAAGAACACCATACCTACTGTGAAGCATGGGGGTGGCAAAATCATGCTTTAGGGCTGTTTCTCCACAAAGGGACCAGGACGACTGATCCATGTACAGGACAGAATGAATGGGGCCATGTATCATGAGATTTTGAGTGCAAACCTCCTTCCATCAGCAAGGGCATTGAAGATGAAACGTGGCTGGGTCTTCCAACATGACAATGATCCCAAACATACCACCCGGGCAACAAAGGAGTGGCTTCGTAAGAAGCATTTCAAGGTCCTGGAGTGGCCTAGCCAGTCTCCAGATCTCAACCCCATAGAAAACCTTTGGAGGGAGTTGAAAGTCCGTGTTGCCCAGCGACAACCCCAAAGCATCACTGCTCTAGAGGAGATCTGCATGGAGGAATAGGCCAACATACCAGAAACAGTGTGTGCCAACCTTGTGAAGACTTACAGGAAACATTTGACCTCTGTCATTGCCAACAAAGGATATATAATAAAGTATTGAGATGAACTTTTGATATTGACCAAATACTTATTTTCCACCATAATTTGCAAATAAATTCTTTCCAAATCAGCCAATGTGATTGTCTGGATTGTTTTTCTCATTTTGTCTCTCATAGTTGAGGTGTACCTATGATGCCAATTACAGGCCTCTCTCATCTTTTTAAGTGGGAGAACTTTCACAATTGGTGGCTGACTAAATACTATTTTGCCCCACTGTATAATCTAATACCAATTTCAAACAGTATAGTAATAATTATATATATAACCTTAATATATTCCTAACCACAAAATGTTATAAGTCTTTAGAAAATTGGAAAGATCAAAGAAAATGACAATATTCTAACAGCCTCACAACTCCCAAAATTTAACTGAGCATCAGCGTCTCTGGTGGAAATCTCTTCCTTCAAAATGGCAGCTGGAAGTTCTCAGCAAAATGGCTGCAGGTAGCAAGTGAGTATAGTGCAGTATATAGTGGTAGGAGTAGTGAAGAAATAGTTGGAAGATTAAGTTCAGAAGTGATCAAGAAGTAGTAGCAGTCTTTCAGAAGAAATGAAGTGATTATTAGAAGTCTTGAGGTCTTGAAGTGATCAGGTGAGCAAGTGAGTTCATCAGTTTGTGAGTTTTTCTAGTTTAGGTGTTTGTCATTTTTATATCATCCAATGCCATTGTTCCGAAAGGACCTCCCAACAGACTTGATGATTGGACGGTTGAGAAGTTGCGTATTTAGAGATATTCCTCACCTGTCCACTGGGGACAGTCCGGTATCACAAATGAATTGGTGGTCTTAATGATGACTCATCCTTTGATAGAAACAAAATGTCTTTATGTATCAAATATATGTCCTATTCAAGTATAGTTGATTTCACTACTAACTCTTGGATAAGGACCATAGAAAGATGTAAATACATTTGGTTTCTCATTATCCTGATATTTAAACTGTTTTGAAATAGCTGATTTCTTTTGGAAATATAAAATTTACCCAAATTCACAAATCATCTTCTTCATCACTTCAAACTTAGTTGAGTGCTATGCAATACCCAACTTTGTTGAATATATTTTGGTGTGTGGAAATATACCCTTTATAAGATTTCCATTGATATAAACCACATTTTTCTTTGTATCTGAAATGACCCAGGTTTCACCTTCTGCTGCATACACAGTTCAAGGTGATGTGACGGAAAGAATGTCTAGTTGCTTTCACTATTGTTTGAGAATTAGGGTAAATAGAAGAGACCAGAGTTAAACCTTCCTATTCAATACCTATTGTGACATCTTAAGAAGTTTGTTCATCACACTTTCCGAGGTTTTGTGAGAGCTTTCAGACAACGGGTTTCCATCTCATCATTGTCCTTTTTGGTTCGGTGTGTTGGCTCACCTGTAGAAATTCAAATAGTGATATCTGTCTCATCCCCTCTTGAATCACCTCTTTCAATGTCGAGTCTGTGTGGTAACCTCTTGAAATATCTAGGAAAATTTCACTCAAGAATGTTAACCCTTAACAGTCAACTGGGATCATAATTTGAAATAATATATTTTTTTTTTTATAATAAACAGTCCCAAAAGTCATTACCTGTCCATCTCCTTTCCTCAATATAACGTCATGTTCCCAACAAATGAGGAGGAGATACTGGACATCATATGAAAGGTCCATCTCATTCCTCAATATAACGTCATGTTCCCAACAAATGAGGAGGAGATACTGGACATCATATGAAAGGTCCATCTCCATTCCTCAATATAACGTCATGTTCCCAACAAATGAGGAGGAGATACTGGACACCATATGAAAGGTCCATCTCCATTCCTCAATATAACGTCACGTTCCCAACAAATGAGGAGATACTGGACACCAGGTGAAGGGTCCACCTACATGTCAGAAGTAGCACCTGAGGCCCCATATAACTTGTCTTTACCACCACTGCTGTACATTTTATGAACTCTGTATCTCTGCTCATCAGTCCCATTCTTCACCATAATATATATTAAATATTGATTTCCAGCAGGTGGACAGTGTTCTCGGAATATAAATACATCGGAGGGACATCTTATTATATTTCCAGATTGTAAGGCAGAAGATGCTGACATTCCACAATATTCTACAAAAGTGAATTCCTATTGGTCGGTTAGATCGATGAATCCTTCTAATCCTGAGGTATCTTCTGATAGATCCCATACTATGACTCCAGATGTCCATCTAAGATCAATGGATCCTTCTAATCCTGAGGAATCTTCTGATAGGTCCCATACTATGACTCTAGATGTCCATCCAAGTTCTCACAGTGCTGGCAAATCAATAGATCAATTCAATCCCCAGAAATCTTCTTCAGGCCATAAGGTGGTTTACACAGGAGAGCGTTCACTGTCATGTTCGGTGTGTGGGAAATGCTTCACTAAATACAAAAACCTTCTAAGACATCAGAAAATTCACACCAGTGAGCGTCCGTATTCATGTTCAGAGTGTGGGAAATGTTTCATTCAAAAAGGACAACTTGTTATACACCAGAGAACTCACACAGGTGAGCGTCCATTTTCATGCCCAGAGTGCGAGAAAAGTTTCATTCGGAAAGCAGCCCTAGTTACCCATCGAAGAATCCACACGGGTGAGCGTCCTTTCCATTGTTCAGAGTGCGGGAAATGTTTCTTTAAAAAGGATACCCTTATTATACACCAGAGAACTCACACCGGTGAGCGTCCTTTCCCTTGTTTAGAATGTGGCAAATGTTTCCTTAAAAAAGAAGCACTTACTATACACCGGAGAATTCACACTGGCGAGCGTCCTTATCCATGTTCCGAGTGCGGGAAATCTTTCATTGAAAACAAAGATCTTCTTCGACATCAGAGAATTCACACTGGCGAGCGTCCTTTTGTATGTTCAGAGTGTGGGAAAAGTTTCACTCGCAAGGGACAACTTAATGTACACCAGAAAGTTCACACGGGTGAGCGTCCCTTCCCTTGTTCAGAGTGCGGGAAACGTTTTCTTAAAAAAGGAAACCTTACTGAACACCAGAGAATCCACACGGGTGAGCGTCCTTTCCCTTGTTCAGAGTGCGGGAAATGTTTCCTTAAAAAAGAAAAACTTATTAGACACCAGAGAATTCATACGGGTGAGCGTCCTTACTCGTGTTCAGAGTGCGGGAAATCTTTCACTCAGGAAGAAATACTTCTTGAACATCAGAGAATTCACACAGGCGAGCGTCCTTATCCGTGTTTAGAGTGTGGGAAATTCTTCAGTCATAAAAGATACCTTGTCAAACACCACAGAATTCACACGGGTGAGCGTCCTTTTTCCTGTTTAGAGTGCGGGAGGTCTTTCACTGGGAAAAAGGAACTTCATAGACACCACAGGAGTCACACGGGTGAGCGCCCATATTCCTGTCCAGAGTGTGGGAAATCTTTCACTTATAAAGGAGACCTTGTTAAACACCAGAGAATTCACACAGGCGAACGTCCCTATTCATGTCCAGAGTGCGGGAAATGCTTCACTATGAAAGGAAACCTTGTGCAACATCAGAGAATTCACACGGGTGAGCGTCCTTTTTCCTGTTCAGTGTGCGGGAAATCTTTCACGCAGAAAACTATACTTGTTGTACACCAGAGAATTCACACGGGGGAATGTCCTTATACATGTTCAGAGTGTGGGAAATCTTTCACCACAAAAGCGGACCTTGTTAAACACCAAAGGGTTCACACGGGGGAGTGCCCTTATTCATGTTCAGAGTGTGGGAGATGTTTCAATCACAAAGGAAACCTTGTTAAACACCAGAGGAGACACGCCGCCGAGCGTCCTCACTGCATTCAGAGTGCGGGAAATATTTTATAGATAAAATAAAAACCTCTGCGATAGAGGCGACCTGCCTGTTGATTCTTTTGACAACTTTTGAGTCCACAAAACATCTGGAGGCAGGGCCATGGATAATGGGGTACCACCAGTCCTCCTGTACGGGGCCCAGGCCAGTTGGATGTGCGTAGGGAGGGTGATGGGTGTGACGGGGGCAATTACTGGAACCGATCCCCTGCATGGCTCTCTCTGCAGCAGCTGAAAGCCAGCGGGATGGAGAGGAGGAGAAACCGGCTTTCAGCTGCTGCAGAGAGAACCCTACAGGGGAGGAGCTGGGTGAATTGGATGTGGGCAGGGAGGGTGATCGGCACTGCGTAGGAGGGCAATTACATCTCCTGTATGTCTCTCTCTGCAGCAGCTGAAGGCTGGCTTCTTCTCCTCTCCCTTCCGCTGGCGTTCAGCTGCTGCAGAGAGAACCATACAGGGGATTGGTTCCAGTAATTACCCCCCCCGGCTGCACTCATCACCCTCCCTGTTCACCACACGTTGTTCAGACCCCTCTGTGTGCCCCCCCCTAATGCTCCCGGGATCCCTCCCACTGGTAACCATAAGCACACAATAGGATCCTTCAGGATGATGAACACAATGAGTGATCGGTACTGATTACTCACTGTATTCATTCACAACTGAAGCACGGTAAACTATGTTTTTTGGAGGGGGGGGGGGGGGGGGCTGTATGGGGCCCTGTGGTTTCTAACAGCAGCCCTGTATGTAGGATAAAAAAAAAAAAAAAATTCCGAACGGGACATCCTGGCAAAAGTGTTCTTTCACCTACAGGTAGAGTGTGGTGGGCCGAGTCTTCCCATGCCTTCTTCTATTTCTTGGAGACTCAGATACTGGGACATACCAAAGGAGCAAAGTCCACCCTACGAGCCTCACATTCCTTCCACTGACACCAATAATGGGGCACTATTCCTTCCACTGACACCAATGATGGGTCACTAATGATGGGGCACTATTCCTCCCACTGACACCAATGATGGGGCACTATTCCTCCCACTGATACCAATGATGGGGCACTATTCCTCCCACTGACACCAATGATGGGGCACTATTCCTTCCACTGACACCAATGATGGGTCACTACTCCTTCCACTGTCAATAATGATGGGGCACTATTCCTCTCAATCATAGCAACGATGGGGCACTATTTCTCCCAATGGCACCGGGGAGAACGGATATAGTGAATGCGGGGTCCGGGGAGAGCGTATATAGTGAATGCGGGGTCCGGGGGGAGCGGATAGAGTGAATGCGGGGTCCGGGGAGAGCGGATAGAGTGAATGCGGGGTCCGGGGAGAGCGGATATGGTGAATGCAGGGTCCGGGGAGAGCGGATAGAGTGAGTGCGAGGTCCGGGAAGAGCGGATATGGTGAATATGGGGTCAGGGGAGAGCGGATAGAGTGAATGCGGGATCCGGGGAGAGCAGATAGAGTGAATGCGGGGTCCGGGGAGAGCGGATAGAGTAAATGTGGGGTTCGGGGAGAGCAGATATAGTGAATGCGGGGTCCGGGGAGAGCGGATAGAGTGAATGCGGGGTTCGAGGAGAGCAGGTAGAATGAGTGCGGAGTCCGGGAAGAGCGGATATGGTGAATGCGGGGTCAGGGGAGAGTGGATATAGTGAATGCGGGGTCCGGGAAGAGGGGATATAGTGAATGTGGGGTCCGAGGAGAGCAGATATAGTAAATGCGGGGTCCTGGAAGAGGGGATATAGTGAATGCGGAGTCTGGGGAGAGCGGATACAGTGAATGCGGGATCCGGGAAGAGCAGATATAGTGAATGTGGGGTCTGGGGAGAGCGGATATAGTGAATGCGGGGTCCCGGGAGAGCGGATATAGTGAATGCGGGGTCTGGGGAGAGTGGATGACCCGCCCCCAACACGCACATGGCTTGAGAATGGAAGCAATGTCCATGCCGCCACTACAACCCAACGGATATGGATAGAACTGCCGGCACGGAGATGGACGAAACACTCGGGCAAATACAGCCCCCCCCCCCCCCCCCCCCGGGGCATGCTGAATTATGCCCATGCTCATCAGTTTTAAGCTTTTTCATTCTTTTGTTTTTTTCTTCATTATAAATATTAAAATGCTGCCAGTCTGTTGTTTTTCATTATATTTGTTTCATTCTTTAGCTAGAATATTAGCCATGTCTGATCATAGAGAAATTCGTCCATTGTGTAGGAGGAGGAGGTTGCATTTCCCCCGTAGTTGCAGTTTCACATACAGTATATATTACATCTCCAAAATAATTCTGTGCATGTGCGAATGCTTCAACCGCTTGCCGCCCGCCAACAGTATGTTTTACTGCGGGTGGGCGTGTGACGATCGCGGCATCAGACCCTAGCCCTTCTCACCAAAACTGGTGACTGAAGGACTAGCCAATCTAAAACTGCGCTGTCACGTGCATAACAATGCCACGCCGAGCTGCACCATGCACAAAGATTTTCCAGCTAATGGACCACAATCTGTGTACCTGCAGCCTGGGAGCGATTGTTACTGGGTCAGCTTAATTACGCAATTAACCCTTCACACTGCCACCACCTCCTTTTTATACAGAGAAAGAGGAAACTCGGCAATAACACTATGATGTTTGAATAATCATCTGTATACCACTGTCACTGCAGGCAGAGATACAGTGAGGAACAGAAGTATTTGAACACCCTGCGATTTTGCAAGTTCTCCCACTTAGAAATCATGGAGGGGTCTGAAATTCACATTGTAGGTGCATTCCCACTCCGAGAGACAGAATTTAAAAATAAATTCAGGAAATCACATTGTATGATTTTTAAAGAATTTATTTGTCTTGCACTGCTGAACATAAGTATTTGAACACCTAAGAAGAGCAAGAATTCTGGCTCTCAAAGACCTGTTACTGTGCCTTTAAAAAGTCCACCTCTACTGCACTCATTAATCTAACTTAGTAGCACCTGTCTGAGCTCTTTAAAGACACCTGTCTACCCCACAGTCAGTCAGATGCTAACTACTACCATGGGCAAGACTAAAGAGCTGTCAAAAGACATCAGAGACAAAATTGTGGACCTCCACAAGGCTGGAAAGAACTACGGGGCAGTTGCCAAGCAGCTTGGTGAAAATAGATCAACTGTTGGAGCAATTGTTAGAAAATGGAAGAGGCTAAAGTCTCCCTCGGACTGGGACTCCATGCAAGATCTCACCTCATGGGGTATCCCTGATGATAAGAAAGGTGAGGAATCAGCCCAGAGCTGACATGAAGAGAGCTGGGACAACAGTTTCAAAGGTCACTGTCGGTAGAACCCTACGCCATCATGGTTTCAAATCACTCATTGCACGGAAGGTTCCCCTACTCAAGTCATCACATGTCCAGGCCCGTCTGAAGTTTGCCAGTGACCATCTGGATGATCCAGAGGAGGCATGGGAGAAAGGCATGTAGTCAGATGAGACCAAAGTAGAACTTTTTGGTCTAAACTTCACTCGTCGTGTTTGGAGAAAAAAGGATGAGTTGCATCCCAAGAACACCATCCCTACTGTGAAGCATGGGGGTGGCAACATCATGCTTTGGGGGTGCTTTTCTGCGAAGGGGACAAGACAACTGCACTGTATTAAGGAGAGGATGAATGGGGCCATTTATTGTGAGATTTTGAGCCACAACCTCCTTCCCTCAGTCAGAGCATTGAAGATGGGTCGTGGCTGGGTCATCCAACATGACAACGACCCGAAGCACACAGAGAGGATAACCAAGGAGTGGCTCCGTGAGAAGCATATCAAGGTTCTGGAGTGGCCTAGCCAGTCTCCAGACCTAAATCCAATAGAACATCTTTGGAGGGAGCTGAAACTCCGTGTTGCTCAGCGACAGCCCTGAAACCTGACAGATCTAGAGGAGATCTGTGTGAAGGAGTGGGCCAAAATCCCTGTTGCAGTGTGTGCAAACCTGGTCAAGAACTACAGGAAGCGTTTGACCTCTGTAATTGCAAACAAAGGCTTCTGTACCAAATATTAACACTGATTTTCAAATACTTGTTCAGCAGTGCAAGACAAATAAATTCTTTAAAAATCATACAATGTGATTTCCTGAATTTGTTTTTTAAATTCTGTCTCTCAGAGTGGGAATGCACCTACAATGTGAATTTCAGACCCCTCCATGATTTCTAAGTGGGAGAACTTGCAAAATCGCAGGGTGTTCAAATACTTCTGTTCCTCACTGTATACCAAAGTTTAAAACACACACACAGTGGCGCTCTTCAGAGGCAGGGGTTTTTAGTTTGCTTTAAAGAGCTTTAGAAACAGTTCAACACTTTCAGAAAGTAAGATTTATTACTAAAAGGTCAAAAGGGTGCAATAAAAGTATTTACAGAAAAAGATGTAGCCAATATATATATATGTATGTATATATATATATATACATATATATATATATATATACAGAGAACAATAACACAGCAAAGAGATAACTGAAAGAATTTTAGAGAGATAAAGTACTTGCCAAATGTCCTGGTTTAAGCAGCTTTCAAGTTTTCTGAGCAAAAGGGCCTTATCTCCCCAAGTTAGTTCCGATGTTAAAAGGGAGCTTCTTCAACTTCAACTCAGCTTAGCTTAACCCCAAGCATGACAGCCTTTTTCTAGGAACTCAGCAGGGTGTCTCCTTAAAGCAGAGAACCAATCGCCTCATTTGGGGAGGGAGTTGTGGGCAGAGGCCCCAGCTAGGCAGCTAGAACCAAAATCCCTCAGAAGTTGATATCAGGGCAATAACTTTCCCTGGATACATATAACATTCTATCCACAAGTAGATTAATATGCAGAATCATCTGCTGAACGTCTAGATATGAAATATGACATACCTGCTGGGATGGTTGAGGAAATATCATTTTCTGCTCTCCTGTAGCTGTCAGCTAGGGGGTGTAACCTATCAGGTGACTTGTATTAAAGTGAGCCATCCAAATATGTGCTCCATG